CGCCATTTATAGAGCTATCTTCAGAAAACAGATTGTGTTTCGAAACACACCGCAGGTTTCCAACAATCATTTGCTGCTTTAGCATTGTTTGTCAACCTATTCCGAGTTTAAGCTATTATCACTCCGACGCACTCTGCTACTTCATACATGCAAAATCTTGTTGATAACTTTAGCATGCACACTTCAGAAAAGCTGTATTTTTTTTAATTTAAAAATGGATATTAATGCGCTTTTCATGGAAGGCTTCACTCACATCAGCACATTAAAGTTAAGCAGAGTAAAAATTTTAATAATAACTGGCACAATTAAACTAACAATCTTTTATACCAGAACGAGGGAGCACTAGAATCTAATGGAAGAATTAAACTTGATGGATTTAATCTACGTCCAAATTATTATATGCGAAATTGTGAAGCTGCTCATTTCCAGAAAGCATAGAAGAACCAACAATAATTTTGGCCCTGCTGTTAGCGGCACTGGGTTACTGGATTAGCCAGCATGAAATAAACATTTTAAAAACAGCTCCACATGGAATCTTTTTCCACTTGTGTGTTTGCTGCTGAAGAAGTAGCTATTTTAGCTGCAGCAATAGGCCATTTTAAAATGAACCTTATGTGATGTGTACGTGCATACACAATTGAAATATTCAAATTTGGGCATTGTAAGTATAGAAATCAGACAATGAAAATGTTAGGAATAACAGTTACAGAGATTTGATGTTCTGCTGACACTCACAGGCTTATCTGCAGGCCCAGAAGTACTCATGCTGACAAACTCTGAAAACGTGGTTTTTGCTGTCAGAACATGCTCACACACATTTTCAACAACAGATCCAATTCAGAAACTACATTGCGAAAAAAAAATAAAACTGCCCCATGGTTAACGAATATTCTTTTTTTTTGCTTTCTTTTTTTTCTTTAAGCCGCTCATAGAACGTGTAAAGGTCCGTGCCATTCAGTCATCGCTTCAATGTTTAAAAGCATACATGATGGAACAAAGAACCTCGTTGGAACGTACTGCAGCAAATTTAGTAATACTGCTGTCGACATGAAGCTGAAGTGGTCAGCTCTATCTACCGAGGTTCCAAAACGGAAGAAAGCAGCATTTTGGACAAGCCAAAGTGAGGATTACAGGCAATGTTGGTTGTCTCCACTTCACTCTGACCAAGGCACTATGTTATACCCTTTCATAATACGTCAACCAGACCAGTTAAGTACACTGCTGCTTAGGTTCCTTAGAGGCCCAAATTAAACAAATGAACTCAATTATCAAGATTAACTTTCATTTGGGCTCCGTTAAAGGGACACTAAAGCCAAGTAAGCATTGAAGTTAGAGTGAAAGCTCAACGCATGACATCTAAAAAATAACAATATCAAAAGCAGTGCCCTACTTACTAAGAAATTCATGTAAATACACGAGAACACATGTGCCAGAAGTAGTAAATTCGCAAAATTATCCCGATGACATCAGACTTGCCACCTACAATTAATCACTACTAATTAAACTATCTGCACTAAATGAAGAACCTTCCATGCATCAAGAGACGTAATAAAATGTTGCTTGTTTATTTCTGTTTGATTCATGGAAAAAAAGAATTGCCAGACGTTACTATGGGGAATGGGGCCAGTGATCCAGAAGTTCAATTTTCGCCTGGTTAAACTGGACAGGTCGTGCCATATAGCAGGGCCCAGGTGAACCAAGCAAGCCTGCCATCTCAGAGGCCATGGCAGGAAATTGTTCACTGGCCATTGTTGCTGCTGTGGCTCCCACTGCTTTCGTTCTGTCTTCTAGTGTCGGCAGGCACGCGGTAAAACCAGGCAATGTTGAGCACAGCTACAGTGACGTAAAGGTTTCCACTTAGGTGGGTAATTTGAGTGTGCTATCACTATGCGGACCATTAAAACGCCATTTCATTTCAAAATAAGCACTTTCTTGGCACAAAAGTAGCACTATAAGGTTCCTGGACCACTATTTAAGCAATCAACATTGACTTAATATTTGCTTTTAGTGTGTCTTTAATCCATTAAAACATAAGCACGTCAAGCATGGGGTTGTCCAAGTCCCACACGCTCCGGTCTGCGGTATCGCCAATATACTGAGCACTTGCAGGCTGCGCACATCCCAGCAGAGTGCACTGGTACTGACCTCATTCATAACAGAGGTCTCATATATACAATACTTCATGTTTCTCTGGACAGTGAAGTGCAACAAAGCTGGTATTTGAATTTTTTTACTTTTGCCATTTAGTCACACTGCTGTGAACTGCCATGAATCACTATCAACTACATTGCTTTAAAACACATGGCTTATAGGGACAAAAGTTAAGCAGACATTCCACTCTGTTAAGGTGGGTGATCAGCAAAGCTATCTAGCGCAGGCGACAGCGATAAAACAAAATTTTGGACAAAAGTGAAAGCTCAGAATGTGCTGGGAAAATGTGGGAGTTGCGTTGTCTGCATGCGTTTGCCTTGAAGAAAGCACTGCCAGAGGTCACCATCGTTTCTGGTACTTGTCAATGCATGGAAGTGTTCAACCCTGCCTTTAGGACGTCATGAAGTGCAAACTAAAAGGGTATTTTGCATGCACTGGCCATATCAAGTAGTTACTACATTCCATACTGGGCACTGCAGCAACATTTTGTCATATTGCCGCAATTCAGGGAACAGAACTTGAAAGGATACCTTAAGTATCAAAGTATTTTCACCAAAGATTTGTCTGGTTGAGTGAAAGTATTCTAGATGTTGAAATAGCGACAGAAGATGAATTTAACAATTCAAGATCCACTCGGTCCTTCACTAATGAGTTCCCATTATTAGTATTTGATGCAGCCTCATGAACATGGCAGTACTTTGACATGTAAGATAAGCTTTTCTCTGAAGGCATTCTGTGTGGTGAACATTATCTAAACCTTTCTTCATAGCATACTTGTTGAGAAACCCTATGAATGCCAAGAGATCCTTCAAAAGGGTTTGTGCTGTAATAGTGAATAAAAGCCAGAACTCTTTTCTAAATTGCAGTAAACACACAAGTGAGCAACTGTTGTAATACTCTTAGGTTGAAATCTTGCCCATTTTAGCTCGAGAAATGGAGTAATTTCGAAGCCAGAACATACGTGAAAGAAAAGGTTTTTAGGCCTGGCTGTGATAGGTTCCTTGAGAGTTTGCTCAGCAACGTTCACATAGGTTTGGTAGTACGAATAGGACGATATACTTGGAGCATTCATAAAACGAACACTTGACCATGTTTACCCTGTAAGCGTTGCTTTTTTTATACGAATAGTTGTGCTTGCTCATCACGATGGCCACATGTGAGTGAACTTGTAAGCTTCAAAGGAAATGAGGTTCAGTCACAAGAGTGTCAGAGTGATGTGGCCTTAGACTATTTCTTTGTTTATTTATTTATATACCCTTGGGGTCAATAGACACTCTAAAGGGGAGTGTCTATATTTACAAAATAAGTGGTTATTTTCATTTATACAATAAATTTGCATAAAATGCATTAACACATATAACACAATAAGTGAGCCAATAAGGTTACACACTAACAATTGAAGATGTTAACAAAGAAAAAAATTAAAAGGAAAGCAGTAAAAAGTGAAATGCCTCCATACATAATGTAAAATGACAGTAATACTGGGTACACTAAATACAGCAAAAAAAAAAGTTATGACACTGGTATAACATACATGAACAATTAAGTCTAATTTCAGCCATTCGTGTGGGAAGGCTATTCTACTCTTTTGATGTACGTAATATGAATGAATTCACGAGTGCATAATTTTTACATGCTGGAGTTCTGACTTTATGAATATGGTCTAGTCGTTGGAAACACACTAGGGGTCACAAAGCCTCTGCCTAGCCGACATTGATCATACCGACCTTATAATGTTCTATTCGGAAAAAAAAAAAACTGCACACTCCTACGGCATTCACTGTTCTACAACAGCCTCGTAATCATGCAAAGAAGAAAATATCATGGGCTTAGTGCCAAATGTCATCCACACGGACACCCTTAGATATAAAAAGTGTGGTAGTGTGATGTGCTCTCAATGCAACACCTGATCACACTAACATGGTCAATCACATTAATTACCAAAACGTTAAGCAAATGCTAGACAAGGCAGCCGTTAGCACAATATTTCGCGAGATGAAAGAACATGCATTTTTACATGCTTGGGACTCTGCAGCGCTCACAAAAAAAGGACGAGGAACAAAAGAAGTGCACACATGTACTGCACAAATCTTTTGTCCCTCATCTTTTTCGTCCAACAAATCAGCACATCAGGGCCACTAATCAGCTTCCTTTACAACATCAAGCATATGAGAATGCTAATAAGTTATATATGTCTAGTGCAAACATTGAAATAAGGACAATGATCAAAAATAGTTAATTACAGTGATTTATTAAGTGGCAAAAACAGACACAGAAATGACTGTGACAAGTGATTACAGAATAATGACTGCAAGGGAGTGCTTTTCTGCAAGAGAAAAATCAATGCTAAAAAATAATAGGCAATAAAAAAAAAGACCTCCTGAGAGTTTGTATATACAGCATGCACAGGCAGGCAACAAAAATAGAAATTTAAAATTAAAAAAAACATTTCTTAACATTTACCAAATAATACTAATGAAAGCACCAATTAACAGGTGCAAGCAATAGTAATAAATATGACAATTTATGACATACCTATTTCTTCAAAATTGCTAGACTTGCTTGTAGTTCGAAATGTACAGCATCAAATTTTAAGGACGACACATCAAAACTGATCACAACCAGTGCACACAAAGCAGGCTACTCTGCTACATCACACCAGAAATGCCCACGACGAGGAAGTAAAGAAATTTTTAATGAAGGCGTGGCATGGCTGTATCGTTTCACGAAAAACGGCAAGTGATCTCATTAGCACCATCGGATCGCCTTACCTTCACGTGTAGTGTTTGGTACTTCTGTTTCTTATCAGCTGTGCTCAAAACTGCAGTATCAAGTATAAAATCAGTAGACTATCAAGTATAAAAATCATGGAAAGCCACTGAGGCACTTTTTTTTTTGCAGACAGGCAAAATAGTTTTTTCGCTCCTGTTAATAGTCTGAAGGGGCCATGAAATACTTTTTCGAGTAACCATTGAATTGATCTACTGAAGGAGCTTATTGCCTCACAAATTCAATGCCACAAAAATTTTTGGAATCTGTTAAGTACAAGCAGAATTACAAAGATTTGTGCACGCTCATATTGTATTCTCTCGTCCCGACAAATGTGCTGGAAGCTAAGCAGGGAAGAATGGCGTGGGGAAAGAAAATATGTCATGCACACCTCGTGACCTTGAGAACTTTTTCTCTTTGAATGCGTGGCTGTGTAGTGCGATCGCAAGCGCACATGTAGACAAGTTGCAGCCATGCACAGTGGCCCCAGTAAAGACCGAGCACACCACGCTTGAATTGGCCAATGGCCAGTAGAATGTATGTGATAAGTAATTTTTGAGCTTGTAGCATCATTTGTCAAAAGAAGACAGAGATTTTTAGTTGGCTATGGAATTAATTGCGAATTGCAGGCCTTGTGCTGCGCTATAATATTTGTGTTCTCGGGAGTCTCAACTACCGATCAGTAGCGTTTTCTTACCATGTTCAGGAAGTGTTGCAGGGCCCCTTTAAGCAAAACAGATAAGCACTACATGTTGCACATAGAGAATAAGGCATGCACTTGTACATTTCAGAATGTTTAGCGACGATTTCTCTAACCATGTGCCGTTTCAGTGCCCCTTGATTCAAATTTCATCACTTTCTTATCAAGCCTAGTCCTACATTGATGTAACAAAAAGGCTGCATTTTCTGCACACCAGGCATGCAGAGATATTGCCCTTAAAATTCATTTATTAATATTTCAAATTACGTACAATTACAGTGATTTCTAAAATATAGGTATGCCCTCAATTGTCATGCACTTCAACTTTCTAATGTAAACAACTGCCCTCAAGTCCTTCACGTTTAAACATAATGAATGAGTTTTTATTGATTAGTAGCAACAGTTTCACTTCAGCTGTGATGAAGTATTTCTGCAGCAATATAGAGGTCTTGTGCAAAAAATACAGGAGCATGGCTGTCACAGAAATTTTAATAAATATTTACATCATCTAAAAAATAAGCAGATTATGCTTAGCCATCATCTCCGTTAAAACAAAAGGATTTATATCGTTTGAAAAAAAAAAAGAGTTGTTACAGAATAACCTGAAAAGCTTTCTTGACTTTGCAAGGCAGTAATTGCCTTGGAGAGGACTTGCCGAAACGTTACCTCCAGATTCACCCCTTGGTCTAAGGATTTCTCCTCACTTAGTCTTCCATCTTCCTCTGAACTTCTACCTTATTTGAACATCTGAAAAGACATGCAAAGTTCATCAGGTACAACCATCATGCATGAATGCTTTATAAAGTGGGCGAGGGGACGACTGCCACCGCAGTTCCAACTGGCAGATCATGTTATCCGAAGCTTGCAGGTATGGTCCCTGCCAGCGGCAAGTTGTCTTTTCATCCACTTTGTTTTCTCCACATATATGTCACGATTGCGGCACCTTTCTTGGCTTCATCACTTTCTGGATTTCATTAAATCTGTGTCAAACAAAAAAAATAAACAAATGAACGAGCCTCCAAATTTTCCTTTCGACCAATTGGTGTGTCACACTACCACTCAAAAGGCAAAGCAATGATGATAATAAGAATGAACTAAAGAGATGTTTACAAAGTAAGGTTTATTAGCACTATACATTTTATAAAAGAGGGTTTGCACACTATAAATTAAGTTGATGACCATGATATTCACAAGGAAGCACATACATAACTCAATAAATTTAAACGCTGTCTTTCATAAAAAACAACACAAAGCCAGCAAACACATACCACTGCCATGTTTGACAGCACGCGTGGTATCAGTATTGCGTAATTCACCCTTTAGGACCTCTACCGGTACTTAAAAAGTTATATGAGTGCACCACATATTCCGGAGGTTTTCCGTGTGCAGAGAAACGATCATAGTACAATGTACAACTCCGCCACAACCTGCAACCAGCTTGATGTGCGTGAGCTTGCCTTTTTTCTTCCCTATTCTACATGGCATTGCTCATTGTTTTGATTTAGCCGTACATGGCAATGCTTTCTATTTCCCTCTCTCTATCTTTTTCCCGCATATTTATTTTTGCTCAATTCACGGTTTTCTTTAAGATCCTTCAACATACCATGTGTGGGAGGCAGGGATGGAACAGGCTACTTAAGTTTGGGAGCAGTTCTGAAAGCAGGGAAAAGTGCCTTTTGTAGCACGCTTGGAGCTTCCAGAAAGACTATTTGGAGCAGACTTGGAGTAGCCATAAAAATCATTTTTGAGAGAGTTTATAGCAGTCATAGAGAACGTTCAGAGCAGATGTAGCCCCAGCTACAGATCACCTGTAAATCAATATTTGTGTAATGTTACATTTTTCTAACACTAAGTTGTGAAATGAGCTTATTGCGATAGCAATCAATCTTAACGGTTTTGTCGTTGCCGCTGCCGTCATGTCCTGTACAAAGTTCAAATTGACAACATACCTCAACACATAGTTTGTTCTATCCGTGGGTGAAAGCACACTAGTGGGGCGACGAATGCGGCTGAAGCAGTGCTCAAACAAGCCCGAGCCAGCCCTTCTCTGTCAATAAGAGAGCATATCACCCCACTTGGGAGGCCTGCCGTCAAAGCAAAGAGAAAACACAATGCCCGGTTGAATGAGTATGAAAAGCCACAAGAGTTGAGGGGGGGTAGCTGGAGATGGTGTCGCTCGCGCCAAAACTGTGAATTTTGCTTCTAATGATGCGGTGGCGATGGCTGGTGAGCAAGTTAGCTTGGCAGCCATCAGCTGGCGGCACGTGTTCACTTCTACGCGCTGCACTTTCATTGCAAGGAAACTGTGTGAAAAGTGCTGCTCACCCTAAAGTAGTCGTGCCGTCTTACACGAGTGTTTTGTAGAGTTACGTGAAATGGAATCCGAAATAATTTGCTATCGCATTCATTGCTTCGCTCTTGTGATTAAGCTATTTCTTTTCTGAACACTGCCATAAAGTTATATAAAAATCACTGTTTTACTGCAACGGCAAAGTAATCAATGCGATAGCAACAAATTGTAATATTATACCAAGTAAGGCTGGCAGCTAACTTTTTTCGATCTCATGTATGGTAACTCTGCAAAACGCTGATATAAGAGAATATGGCCACGCCAGGAAGAGATGCTATGTCTGCAGTCCCTTCGTAGTAAGAGCACAGCATGTTGAAGCGTCCATGAACAATTTGCGCTGATGGCTGCCGACTAATAGCGCGCTAGCGGTCGCAAACACGCAGAATAGAAGTTCACAGCTGCTGCTCGAGCTAACACGGCCTCGAAGAAATCGAAACCATAACAGTTTCGAATAAACTGAAAACACACTGTTTCAGCCACATTTTTGGGCAAAGGGCTTGATGGCTTTCGCACCTTGCAGCTAAATTCAGGTGCTGTGGCATAGCACGGTGCTGATAAACAAGTTTGGAGCAATAGGGATGGTTCGGCACAGTATGGCACAGGTAAACATGTTTGGGGCACAACGGTCTAGCTGTTCCACCCCTGTGGATGTGACAGCATTAATTCACACATGGACTTTGTATGAACTACTGCACTAATGTCGAGCGTTTGCTTGCACTGTCCGTATAACAGTCATTTAAATAAGACTTACTCTCCCAAAATCCTTAGAATTCCAGAAAGCATGAAGAACACATATGTACATTTCATAATCAGAACCCAACTATACCACATCATGTACACCTGGTAGCAAACGTATACATAGTTTTCACGTGACATTACAGACAGGTTCTCTGCACTGGGTGCCTTAAAATGGCAGAAACCATGACTTTGTATCTTATTAGAGAGTGGCACTGCAGAGGAGGACACAAAGTCGCTCGGTCCTCGCATTCTTTTGTGATCTCCCCATTTTCTTGTATTCGCTAGGCGTGCTGAGGGGGAACATAAAGGAATGCGAGGGGCACCGGCACCAATCCAACGTCACCATTTGAGCCCACCTGGCTTCGAAACAAGCTTGGGGCCCTGAGATGGTGACCACAATGACATTAATGCAAACTGTATGTACACGGATCATTGCCGTCGATATACTTTTGCCATCTGTGTTGTCAAGGCAAAAAACATGCTCATAGCGCATGCAGCCATTGCATGCACAATGAGCATGTTTTTTTATGATAGTGTTAATAATAATAATAATAATAATAATAATAATGGGACATTTTGCCGCATGCCTAATAATGCACAGTTCGTAGTTATGAAGCCGCAGTCTCGCAACTGGATTCACAACTTTTATGTAGTTCGACAACTCAGCTTTGCCACAATTCTATGGAACATCCAGTCGAGCGTGGCTTCACAGAGAACTTGAATAGCACAACTTTCACTGATATCATCACTCACATGCATGCTGATCAAGGTGTCTTCTGAGGTGGACCCGCTGCACAAACGTCTCATTGCACGAAGGACATTGATACGGCCGCTCACCCGTATGAATGTGACTGTGGTCCTTCAGGGTGGACTTTTGTGAAAAGCTCTTGAGGCACACAGGGCATTGATATGGCCGCTCACCCGTATGGATGCGCATGTGGCCATTCAGCGTGGACCTCTGAGTGAAGGTCTTGTGGCATACACAGCACTCATACGGCCGCTTACCTGAGTGAGTGCGCAGGTGTGCCGTCAACGTGTTTCTCTTAGCGAACGTCTCGGGGCAGAGGTGGCATTCATGTGGCCGCTCAACCGAGTGGATTCGCAGGTAGTGTTTCGTCAACGTGCTCCTCTGTGAGAAGCTGCTGGAGCATAGGAGGCACTTATATGGCCGTTCACCAGTGTGGGTTCGCAGGTGCTTCTTCAGACTGTCTCCATTTGCGAAGCTTTGGGGGCACAGGTGACATTTATGAGGTCGCTCCCCTGTATGAACCATGATGTGCGTTTTCATGTGCCACAAACGCGTCGTCTTGTAGTCGCAAAATTTACAGCAGTGGATGCTTCCTTGGTGGGACGTCTCATCTTGTGTTGCTGCAGGACTGCTGCAACGCTTGATCGCTGCACAATGAAAAGAAGACAGATCAGTCAAGTGCTTGTTTTAATTTAAAAGGAAAATGAAATCAGATTCTCAAGTTGCACTGAGCAACCATTTCCTGCATATACGAATAACGCTGTGATGACAGAATAACTATTTGAAACCACCTATATTTCCTTGCTGAACATAAAGTGAAGTACACAAGTGCCTTTGCATTCCACTTCAGCTGAAATGCAGCTGTGATTATCATATGCAAAATAAATGAAATTATTGTTATTGACACTCACTGATTGAAAAAGTTTCAACAGCAGAATCTCCCCAAAGGAAACTCTGATAGGATGCGAAGCAACAGCGGTGCGCACGACGTACGTTGGTTTGACTTGGTTGAAACGGGCATCGACGCAGGTGCTGAAAGACCAGTTTGAAGCGAAACTCGATGTACTGCTTACTAGAGTAAAAGTTTGTTTGAAACGCAAGGACACGGGAGGCGGGACGCGTTGAAGATGCTTATGCTTGGCTTTCTTGGCTTGCATTTCGTAGATGTTACCCGCGCAGTCTGTATTCTCGAATGCGATTGGTGTTCTTGACTTGCACTTTGTCGGTATCGCTGGTCGTCCACTGCCAACGCTTGCGTTCAGCTTCCTTGGCTCGCGCCTCCATTCGTGAACGCGACCAGCTTCACTAACCCTCGCAATGCCAGCAACAGCTCCGAAAGGTAAGCGCACACTAGCAGGAAGCATGTCCTCAACAGCGTCCCGCCCGTCACCGCGATCGCAAGGCAAGCAGTGGCGCACTGTCCACATTGTCGGCGCCGGGCGATTCTTGAGCGGGCCCACCCGCCAGCTCACGGTTTCTTCTTGCCGACAAATGGAGAGAGGTGGTGCGAATGAGGTGATGCCCACCTGAGTAGACTCGAGTGTTGTGAGCGGTGGTATAGCGGTAGAGAGGGCGAAGCGAGAGAGAGCTGACATGCGGCGAGCATGCGGGAGGGGAGCGGTGTGGAGGGACAGCATTACACGGGCTAGTCAAAGAGCTGCTTGGCATCTAATAAAAAAAAAAAAGGGACAGTGGCTCACATATAATATTCACTTGATATCTCTGCATGCATTGGCGGTGGGATAAGGTTGATAAAACAGACCCAGACTACTATCAAGAAAATAAATTTGGCATATGATCTTGTCCTCCACCAGGGTGCAGTCACACTTTAATATTTTCAATATCTCATTATACATATAAGCATAATTCTAGAAAAGATATACCGGAATGTATGCTACTCTGGACATGAAACAGATAAAAAAGACAAGCAGCACTTGGTATTCGTTGAGCACTAATGGTGAAAGCAGCAAGGGGATGTCTATCATAAATCGCATCAAATACATCTGAGTCATGAAACATAACAGAAAAAAAATAAGGAATTTAAATATTTCTAGAAGAATCAAACAATTCTTTAGAAACATGTTTCCCCTTGAGGCAGTTGTATAAATCCAAGGAACAAATATAACAAAACCTTGAATCGAGAAGTGTGTGAGGATTAGAGAAAAAGGTGACATATCAGTTATGAACAGAGCAATCCACAAACTGGATAGTTTGAAAATATGCAAGACAAACTACAAGCATTTAAATAAAACGACTTCAAAAGTATACAAAAATGTAGACAACAGGGATTAACAGCATCATCTTTTGTATCCAAAAAGTGACCTCTGACTCCCTAGATGTTCAATTTCTCGAACCTAGGAAGAGAAAGAGGGAAAGGTATTATTAACAGAGAAGAGAACTACAAGCGAGATCACCAGGCCCATGTGTGTTGCTAGTAGAAGAAATGCAGTATTTTGATTGGTTTGGATTTGTTGCTAGCTAAACAATGACAACTGGGTTTCTAAGTGATGGTGGCCATTTGGTCTGATAACAATGCATCTCCATTAAGTCATATTTATAAGCGGCAAAGGTTTCTAGCTTGCCTCTTTTCATCAAGGTTTCGGACCGCTTCAAAATACTCGTTTTCTCAGCTCGTAATGAACCGATTGGTAAAATTCTGGTTGCATAATTTTCTTCTTCGAACACACAACAAATGACAGCGTCTAACAAGAATTTGTTATGGAGCTTGGTGAGGGTCCCTTTAAATAGGATGAAATAACTTGTTTGTAGTGCAACAACCTGAGAAGCCATGTTGAAATCTTACAAGTAAGAGTGTAGAACGTTGGAAAAAGGTCAACAAAGAATACAGTGATATATTTTTGGTTGCACTTGAAAGACAGAGACACAGTGAGGTGCATACCAAGCACAAACGAAAGCACTCTAGCACATAAAGTTATTTGAGCATCCTTCTACACTTATGCATGACAACTTGAACCAAGTGACATATAGTATCGCACCATCGAGTTAAGAATCAACATTTTCCTTTGAGAGCCACCTTGTGGTTTATGTGTGCCTCACTGTGTACTTTGTCCTTGTTTTTCAAGTGTGACCAGAAATACAGTAATTAAGTTAATGAACATGTGTTATACATGCACAAGTTAATGCAAACATCACTGGACTGAAAACACTGACTGCCAAAATGTAGACAGAAGTGAACAAATACAAATACAACCCACGGAGGTCTGGGAGAGTAAGTACAGCCATGCATGAAGCGAATAACAATTTTACCTCTCGGGGCTCTAAAGCAGGGGTTTTAAAATAGGGTCCTGCAGAGCCTAAGGGTTCCGTCGGCCCCTCATCGAGGTTCCGCGAGCCACTGATAAATTTCCCTGGTTCCACACTTGCCCACTCATCTCACTTAGATGGCCATCCCGAGGTGCGATCGATCTAGAAAACCTCCATTATTCATGCCCGAGCGTCAATAAGCACATCTCAGAGCTTTTACTTTTATTGCAAATAAAAATTAAAAATCATGCTGGGGAGGCGGTAGGGGGTTTCCTGGCACCAACATGCTTGATAATCCCTGCTCTAAAGTATAGAATGATTATATACTAGCTGCTTAAAAAAACAAAAACATCAGCATGCCATAGAAATATGGAATTATGTTTAGGCTTGCGCAAATACTGAATTTCAGGTTTGAAGTGAATAGGCACCCGGCAATGCAGTTTACGAGATCTGATGATAGCACCAAAACACACAGCCTAGCGAGTAGACGCAGCAAAACGAACTTGCACGTGCATATTATTTTCTTTTTTTGGTTGTGAGCAGGGGGGCCATGGCTGATTATGTAAGCTCCCAGGAAGCCTTTTTTAAGACGCGCCAAAAAAGGCATTGACACTTCCGCATCTCAATGTGTTCAGCAAGAGTTTCATTTTCTTGGTATCCCTGGCGGTCGGTGCCAACAATGCTGAGGCGGCCCAAAAAGCTTCGTCGAGCCCTCTGGTCCACCGTGGGGTGCCTACAGTGATCTTGATCAAATAATTTCGAATCAAGTTCAAATAGCATGTATATCACATATTATAAAGAAAAAGGGGTATATTTGTCATGACCTAATAAACCTGCACAATATTTTCAAAAAATTGAGACAAGGCCTGTGCAAATAGAATAGTGGCAGAATTCGACTTTTGCTAGAATGCAAGCAATAGCCTGTAAAATATGTTAATTTTAAAATTTGCTTAAATTAAATATAATAAAAAAATTATTAAGTTAGATTTAAACTTAAAAATGAATCGATGAGAGGGCAATATCCTCATTTAACTTAGAAGTGGGGCTTTGCAGCAATGCAAATTTTTCCTAAATATGTTTTCACATTTTAGCACCACTCTACTGCAGTGAAACCACCTTTACAAGATGACACATGCGGGTTAATATGTATTTAATCGTTTCTTTCGAATAATTCAAAAATTTCAATATTTTAAATTCTATTTGAAGCAAACTTGAATGCTACATTAATCTTTCGAATATTCTAAGCATTCAAATATTCACACAAGCTTAATTAAGTAGTTGTCAAAGCGATCTACTGAGGCAATACTTTTTTGCAGACTAGTTGGTTCATACTTGAAAAATTGAATTGCTGCACAAACTTGAAGAAAAAAACACAAGGGAGACAGGAAAGAGCGCAGACTACCAACTGTTTATTGTCGTTTTTTGAAGCCAATATATACGCATGCTACGCTGCGCTTCCACGATGCGCACAAAACCAAAGACACTGCAAACAAAGCCAACCCTAAAAAAATCAAATCAAAATTGACTGCCACCACAATGACAAAAGTGAAAAATGGCAAAATACAAAAGTGATACTCACCACAATCTAAACTGCGTAATCCCAAGATGTGCGCTCATCTTTTTTTTATTTATGTTTTATTATTTATTGCACCAAGCGTCAACGAAGGCATGAAAAAATAAAAACAAACTCTTGAGATGTTTGTTTAAAAACCCTAAAAATAGCGCTTAGCACCAAATAAAACAATACATTAACATTTTTATATTCACTCCAAGCAGCCCTAATTGAGAAACCCGAAGAAGCAGTACGCCGAGAGGGTCAAAAACTATACTAACATAAAACCTTACAAAACATTAATGCAAGGGCGGGGGTCCAAGCGTCGAACAAAGGGAGAGGAGGCCTATTCATGTTATGCCTTACTGACATAGTGTTTCCTATAATGTAAAAAAGATGGCTAATAGGTATGGTGTGGATGTACTGTTTTCAGCACCTACAAAGTTAGGTCAGATCTGTTCGTTAACGACTAAACAGAAGAAGGCAAAATGCACAAAAAAGCATGCGAACGTGTTCATTAGGTGTGTATTTGCTGTTGTATATCTGATCCCTTTGTCGTATGGGAGGGTGTACATAGGGCAGACGGGGCGTTGCCTCAACGAACGCTTGCGTTAGCACAGTCTGGCCATAAAAGGAAAAAAATGGTGGTGATTTAGATTTCCATTGTAGGAAATGCAGTTGCACCCCCAGGTTTGAGAATGCGTCAGTCATGGCTAAGGCACGTGAAAAGACCGAAAGGGAGATTACCGAAGCGTACTTTATCAGGCAATATAATGACAAGTGCATAAGCATGCCTTCAATTTCACTTTAGGACAGGGAAATGGTCTTCCTACATAGTCATGTGTAATGTTGTGGCTAACGCCTTGCATTGTGTTCTCTTCCATTTCTCTTCTTTTGTTTTGTTCATTAGTGTTCTTGTTTTTTCCCATGTGATGCTACGTAATGTTTTGTAAGGTTTTATGTTAGTATAGTTTTTTTGCTCTCTCGGCGTACTGCTTCTTCAGGTTTCTCAATTAGGGCTGCTTGGAGTGAATATAAAAATGTTAATGTATTGTTTTATTTGGTGCTAAGCACTATTTTTAGGGTTTTTACACAAAAATCTCTAGAGTACGTTTTCATTTCGTCATGCCTTCGTTGACGCTTGGTGCAATAAATAATAAAAGATAAATATAAAAAGATGAGCGCACATCTTGGGATTACGCAGTTTAGATTGTGGTGGGTATCACTTTTGTATTTTGCCATTTTTCACTTTTGTCATTGTGGTGGCAGTCAATTTTGATTTGATTTGTTTTGGGTCGGCTTTGTTTGCGGCGTCTTTGGTTTTGTGCGCATCGTGGAAGCGCAGCGTAGCATGCGTATATATTGGCTTCAAAAAACGACAATAAACAGTTGGTAGTCTGCACTCTTTCCTGTCTCCCTTGTGTTTTTTTTCTTCAAGTTTGTGCAGCAATTCAATTTTTCAAGGATCTACTGAGATTATTGGTTGCAAAACGTAAGATAATAAGATCTAGCCATTATGAAAAAGTAACATCCTGTATTCAATATAAAAATGTTGACAACAAAGGTTTGCAAAACAATGTTCTCCATCCAATAGTAACTTCCTTTGATGATTGGCAACATGCACCTAGGAGGAGAAAGGGAGAACAAATTACAGTGAATACAAGCGAAATTGTCAAGTCTACAGGTAGTGACAAGCAGAGATGCAGCATTGGATTGCATTCCAATCATGAGCTAGCAGTGTTATTAAAACTAAGTTGTGTCTTAGTGATGCTTATTTGCTTCCACAGCATTCAATGCATAAAATCTTGGGTAGCATTTTGGTGCATATGACAAATGCTTCAGCACTGCATATTTTATGGAACTGTCTCCTGAAGCCAGATGTCGAAATGTGTATGCCTAATAACCTAAAACACACAACTAAGCTCAATATTAAGCTGCTGCTGTAGGACTGTTCATCTAAATATTTTTGCCTGCCATTTCACTATAACTCTAGTTGCTGTTTCATGCAGTGAAGGTGCAACCTTTTGTAATATGTGCTTACCAGCTTTAACTAGCTGTTTCATGGGCAAAGCACATGAACATTTATTCATTGTCTTTTAACTTGTGGCAGTAATAGTTTGTTTCTTTTTTTTTCTGAGGACCAGCACGGAATTATTCATATACAGAAATGTGGCGAGATCATATGCACAGTGAGCACACCTGCTGTATATGGTTCCAAAAATATTCGTTTACGGCAAGCACTTCACCCTTCAATGGTTTGCATATGATGAAATAGTATGAGCAGTAGGAATCTAACACATTACAGGCAATAACAAATAGGCCAATGAAACAATAGGTCAATGATTCATGACAAGTCATGAACATTCAATTACACAAAAGGATGTTGAATAACGGTTGCCGTTTGGTTGACAAATATGCAGTATTATTGAGCAGGCACAATGGAAGACAAAGTGTATTCCTAACATCTATTGCTACACAGGCTAACTTTCCTACAATACAATTTTTCAATTATTAGGCATAAAAGCAATGAATATTGTCGACAGCTGATTGCTTAATATTTCTAGAATAAACATCATTCAAACTGCACAAAAATCACGAAGTGGATGGGATGTGCAGTGTTATTGGACACTGAAGCAACAGCCAAACGAGATAGCAGGTGCATTTAGAATTATTTGAATGACATTCCCTGAACAAAAACTTATTCATGGGACCGAGACTACAAAAAAAAAAAAGTTTTGCCACCGCCAGTTCCATAATACAGACAAAATCCTTTTTATGCCATGCCTGTTCAATGTACTTTATATTGTTTAATTTTTCACAAGTTCTTTCTGCATGTGTCATCATTTCAACATGGTTTAGTAACATTCAAAAAGTTTGTGCCACACTGCGACAGTAACATAAGTGAAGGTGTCATAATCAAAAAGATGAATCAACAAATGTTGACTGTGCAGTACTGAAAAACGCGCTCTACCAGGCGAGGAAAAAAAAAAGCTGGCTATTGTTTTCTTATGAATACAACTGATGAGACAAGCTCCCCCGGAAATGGGACACAAACGGTGATACGCTTGATCTCGCTGCCGGCTTTCGTGAAGGCGGTAGGGAAGGGAGCGGGTGGGGAGAGCGTCTGCTGCGCTCGGAGCGAGTGAGTGAGCGGCGCGCGCGAGCCATCTGCCGCCGCGCCTGCGCACCTGCTGCGCGGAACAGCACCTTGTTTAGCTCGGCGCACTCGCCCGGCGCAGGGAACGGCGGCGACAGTGGAGTGCGACCATAAGAAGCCTCGCTCTTATTTAAAAAACCAACAAAAACGTCACCCTTTTCACCATCCATGCGCAATGGCCAATGCTACGGCTTTGGCGGCGCTTGTCTGGTTTCTCTTTTCATTACCAGAGCACGCGAGCTCAGTGCCGCAGAAGCGACGCTTATTTTAATATTTTGGTTTCGAGCCAGGCATCGCTTCACGTTCCAAACTATCCAAATGAAATGAGGACTACTCCGTCCAAATGAAAAACAGGACTACTTACGGATTCGTAGTAGCATCCTGTTGCGAGTTGGGTGACGGCTACTGGCGCTACGATATTTAACACCCCTTTGTGCTATGTAGTTTGCATGAACAATTTCTGAATTCCGACTCCCTCATATACCCAATTTTCATTTAGGGCCCGCATACTAGTGATATCGTAAACCACCACCAAACGTCCAGCCTTCAGTCTCCATCGTAGTTTCAGTTATGCGGACCAAAACGTTTTATGACACTTTTCTGCTTGTAATCTTTTCATGCAACCAACGCACTCCAAATAAAAAACACTGCCACAACAGCTATAACAGCGTTTGGATCTACATGCACTCATTTACTGCACACCTACGCTGGTTGCGCTACAGTAACTAGAAGTAGTTGCGGTATAGTGCCTAGAATATACTGTAGTTGCGGTTCTACAATGGCAACGGCTAAAGCTCGACTCGGCTGAAAAAGTATTTGTTGCCAGACCAGGCCAGACCTACAACGTTGTATGAGTCATGAGTCATGACGTGGCTTGCAAACACCTTTCTGAGGGCTAACAACATGCCTTTTTTTGGAGGCCCTCAGGCTATGCCCTCGGGGATTTTTCAGCCTTCTTTTACAGCAAAAGCTGTTATGAGATCACAACTCAGGTTTCGCGCTGCTCCGTAGTTGTCTGCCGCCGCCACCGCCCGTAACCACATCGTGCGAAATTAGCATAAAAAACCAAATACCAATGAGACAGTGGGACTCTAACCCGGGTGCCAGCCCAGTATTCTACCACTGAGCTTCTCCGGTGCTTGAGACTTGTTGGTAAACTTGCCCTAGGTAGGCTCGATGTCGGGAAAAGAATCGATTATGAGTAACAAAACGTTTTAGAACAGCATTGAACAACTAGCCGTCACACGTACATTGCGAATAGTGTAACGATTGATGAGTCGTCCAATGCACCAACCAACTTCAAAATCTTGTTCTTGATCACCTATTAGGTGTGGTGCATACCCGCTTCAGGCATAATTCCTCATCGTCGTAAGCCACTGCATAACAAATTTCTTGCAATATAACTTAGAAGTGTGGAGGTTTGGGCTAGTTGGTATGGCATGACGATAGTTGTAACTTCTTGTTCCTTTGTCGTCGTTCTGTTCTCGCAATAGTTTAGCGGATACCATGCTTCTCAGAAGAATGACGAAGGATAGCATAGCGAATGCCGGTCTACTACCATAAAAATTTATTATTAATGCTGCAGTGGCCGGTACCCATGCAGCAATTGCTTGCAGGAGTTATCCGATCAGTGTTTAGAAAAAGCTCTGAAAGGCCGCTCTTCTAGCTTTTGCTGTGAGTGTGCTGCGCCTTCCGCGCAGGCCTGGCGTTTTTTCATGGGAGCACTGTAATTGATTGCCTAGCTCTCGCTGTACCCGGGTTTTTATCTTGATTTTTGCTTTCGGTGGCTCGAGTCTCGCGACCTTGTTGTTTTCTTGCCGAGTGCGGCTTCATCCGTCGTCTTGGTGAAAAGACACAACGTAAAGTGGAAGTTCATGTGAGCTCAGTAAGAAAATTCACACCATTTCCCAAAGGGAACCCTAGCTGATGGGATGCGAAGCAGCAGTGTTGCGCACGTGGCGTCACGGGTATAACGGACGAGGGTGCTGTGGTTAGCGCTGGAAGATTCGTTTGATGCGATGGCTGGCGTACGTATAGTTCTGGTCGTTTATTCAGAGTGGGCACAGACGCTGGACCGGAGCAGGCACGCGTTTCGCCTTGACTACCACGGCCTTCAGTGAAGTGCACGCTGAGGTTTCTGCAGGCATTCGACCTCGAGTTGGCAAAGACTAGATCGATGCACGCTCCCCTTGTGGTGGGTAGCTTGCACTTCGGCGAGTGCACGTCACGCATGTAATAGACGAGCCATTCTCTCCACCAGCGTCAACGTTGAAGTCTCCCGCGACTATAAGAGGTGCGCGTCAGCACGCCTCGCCGCGCAATAGTCAATAGGTAGTTTTAGTGCTGGGTACGCATTCTCTTGGGGCGATGCGGGCTTGGGAGCGCGCGGCGTTGCGTGCCCAACCCATACCCACCGGAATGCCTTTTAGTTGTCGCCACGGTGGCACGCACGCAAACGCAAGCCGCACGAAGGTCACACGTGCTCGCAGCGCCATAGCGTCTTGTCGCGTAAGTATATTTAATTGTTTTTATGATTGAAAACGTAAAGTTAAACATACATAGTGATCGGGACACTTTTTATCGTGTACAGTATCCTGGTATACGAAAAAAGTGAAAAATACAAAGTTACTACAATGACAGTGTCGACATCTTGTGACACTTCGTGCAACCACAGTCATGAACACACATTATGCTTACGCATAATGTCACATTATGCTTACGCATAATGTTTTTGAGATGAAAACAAATAAAAACATTACTCATTTGTAATATTGTCGCTGCGCAGTTTTTGCATCAGATGTACAATGCACAACGTTTCTGCAATAACAATGTTGTGTATGTCTGTTTCAATGTAGCTGCGCTAGATGGCGCCACCTATTCAGCTGGTCGGGGCTGTCATATATTTAGTTTCTATGTTCCAGGCCATTTTAGCTTTAGTAATCTGGCTGAAACTCGACGGCTAGAGTAAACTCGACGGCTAGAGTATATTTTAACTCGACGGCTAGAGTATCCGCAGTGCGGATACTGTGAGTTCTTGCCAAGGTAGACCTTACAAGGCGGCCGATCCATACTGTCCGAGATTTCGCGCCTTTGTGTCATGCTATTTGTATAGTGGCTAGCCACTATAAAATTTGCGCTTAAACTTAAATGTCAAAGTGGTTGATCTGGCCAGCCTCGGCTTTGCTCGCCGTGAAGGTAACATGATGCGCCAGCATGTGCGCCGGTGCAGCTTATCTCCGCTAGGTGGCCAGTGGTGGCAGCGTTGTTTTATGGGCGCACAGACGCATCGCCCCATCGCCCCAGCGATCTTGCGACGCATCTGTTTGGGGCTTCGCGCATGCGCAATACCGCCGCCCCATCGTCCTGCGTACGCAAGCCGCCTGCGTACCCAGCACTAAAACTCCCTAGCGTCTCCAGACAGCGCTGAAACCTATATGTATACGTGTTCTGCGGCTGAACCTGCTCCTTCGGCAGGTTGGGAGCGAGCAGCGCCGAGCGCGCGGCAGGCGAGAGAGTGTCGTCAGCGTGTACTACGACGAGGGGAAGGTGACGTCAACGCGCAAATGTTGTTGACCAAAATAAAAAAAAAATGCAGAAATACATTAAGGGAAATTCTCCTTCATAACTGCATTGAATATGTTTAATATAATATTTAGATCAGTTATTACTTTATGTGCACTAATTGTTAACTGTATAGTTTCAATACTCTTGTTTTCTTTTGAAATGTATATGTCTACAAATGTGTTTTCGATCTAATCTATTTTACATCTTACAATAGTGATGTTTTTCTTTAATGGTATTTTGTCTTTTGTTATGCATATTGTTCTCTTCTTTTTCACATTGTGGTGTTTATTTGATTTTAATTTGCTGATTGTTAGTCTTTGTGTAAAAAGTTATTTCTTATTTGCATCTAAGTTGTGTACCAGACTATTTCAGAGCAAAAGCCTCTGTCAGGCTTTATAGCCTTTTGCTTTTGCTTCATTTTTTTTTCTATGTACAGGAAAAAAAGAAATAAACCTCACACCTCACATAAAAATGGGGCCATGCATCTCAGAAGCTTTGAAATATGTCATTTTTAGAGAATAAAGAAATCCCCTCAGACAAACAAAGGACTCTGATTCTGGTTCAGGAATAGTCGAGGCTTGTCCAATGGTGTGCGCTGTAGGTGCTGCTGACAATGATGCTGATGACGATGCAAAATAAGCGCGTTCCAGACCACACATTCTCTTTCTGCCATCACAACACATGCAAGGTACCCACTATTTGTGATGACGATGATGGTCATGGACAACAACTGATTTATGCAGTTGTTGGCGTCTCAATACACTCTACGATGCATTTAGTATGACTGTAAACCAGGTGAACATGTCTAAACCTAGTCTTTGCCAACTTCAGGGGGAGTGCTCGTTGGATTCCGTCACGACCGGTTGTGCCCTCGCGATCTCCGATGACAATTAACGCAGCTCTGGCCTACTAGGCTGGCCCTACGCCATCTCCTGACGCCGATTCCCGACGGCAGCATAGCTCTGGCCGACTGGACTCGCCCTACGCCATCTCCTGTTGCCAACAAGAGCTCTCGCCAGTGGTGCCCCGTCCACTTACTCCTGCGACCATCTCCGTCTTTCTTATCTACTCCTCATTTCCATCGTTCGCTGTCCCTGCGCCTTGCTCTCTCTTTCCTCTCTCTCTATCTCTTTACCTTTAAATCTTATCCTTTTAATTCCTCCTTTACCCCCACCTTTCGTGAGCTACTGTTGAGGTGTCCTCCCCCTGAGAGACAGTTACGGGGCTCACTTTTATCTTCTAAAATCACTTCCCTTCCTATTTCCGTCTGGATCCGACACCACGAAGCAGTATTAATGAAGGTAAAATGAAATTCACAACTCAACACAACATACCAGCTGCAGTTATGACCAATAGATATTGTATGTAACTGTACATCGCTTGGAACTCATTTACATGCGTGAGTGGTCAATGTCACGGGGTACTTACTGGTAACATTGAACGAGCCCACTGCTTCGCCCGCTCATGATCGTTTACTTCGTGGATATGCCGTGATTTTTTTTGCCTTCTCTCACCCTATAATGAACACCCCCCAAGAACAAACAGTCAAAATAATGAATAAGCTTGTTCCCTGCTTTTCCCCTCCGCTCCAGTACTTGGCGCCAGCCCTAAGGCAAGTGCGCTATGTAGCTTCTTTTCTTTTCGTTTTCCTTTCCGGAGCAACCTCTGGCTCACTTTTCGAGACAAAAGACGTAAGAAACCGACAAATTTCTGCAGCCCCATGCACCAATCTGACAGGTTTGACAAACTTCTGCAAGGATCGATTAGTGAGGTTAAACTTCTATACTGAGGTCAACAGATCATTAATACTTGGAAAAGTGCTTCAGCACACCATTAAAGGAGTGCTGATGCAAAAATTTTATGTTTTGTTTTTTTCTCTTGCAATAAGTAGCTAAGGATCCACTCATGACAGCTGGAAACCTAGTTTTCTTGAACACGTTATGGTCTTATAGCGCTTTGTCGCAGTTTCGATTTCAAAGAGCGCTTAGTGAGCTGGCTGTGACCTTCAATGGTCGGAGGTTCGATCCGTGCCAGCATCAAGTTATCCTTTTGTCTACTTCACTTCCTTCACATTTATGTCACAGTTAATAAAAATGACATCCCCTATTCTGTCCTTAGCTTTCATGTCAGTTTTAATTACTGTTGTGTCTAACAAACAAAAACGAGGCCGTAATACTCTCCT